CAGCAGCAGTGCGTCCACCTGTGGTGGCTGGCTGGATGCCTGTTTTTGAATGCTTGTTTGGGGACCCTGGGTCTGCGATGCATTCAGATCTGTAACAAACGAGACAAGGACATGTGACAATGCATCTTCCGCCATGCCTGTGCCATCGTAAAGAGCAAATTCTGACTTTTTCATTAGCACCATTTTCTAGTTTGCTGCATCTGTCTAGAAAGGAAAACAATGCTGTATTACAAATTATACTACAGCCTGGTGAGAGGCACCTTACCCAAATTTACTGGAATCTGTTCAAGTCTGTCCACTGTCATCCAACGGATGGTCACTGTCACTATTTTTACAATAGAAGAGATTTATACGCATAACCAGACACACAATAATGCAAAGGCATAAATGCTGTCATAGTTGGGCTGGAGGGAAACATACAGCACATAATTAGCACCTTTATTAGTAATAATAAATTGTAAAATTAATACAGTTTCCACTATTACATGGAATTTTATTTGCAAGCCGCCCTTTTATGGATGAAAAAGAATCAACTGAGTAAACCCAGTTAAAAGTCAACTTGACTGGCACTTGCAGTCTGTAACAGATGTATAACCATTCAGCTTCTTCTGCCAAGTTTAACTGTGTTTATTTGCACAAACTACCTACTCTGTTCTTGTCTCAATCCTTTAAGTGTGACGTGGAGGTAATACCTGCACCCAAACACTAAGAAATTATTTCACAACAGTCTTCATTTGTTATCTTTCCAATTATCTCCTGCACATCCAGAGAATCAGGTACTTGTTTTCCAGCATTGAGCTCTGAAGGCTTTTGTGATGATCTGTGCACTACTTAAAAAAAAAAAAAAACAACTACGGTTGGGTTTTCTCCCTCGTCAGCTTTCTGTACCACTTCAGGCCCTCAGGAGCTACACCTTAGTAGCTGGCTTTTCTACATCTTTATTTCTGCAAAGCAATTTTTACCATAAAAACAAGCTGCATAACACGGGAGCATGTATCTTCGTACCTAGAGATGAGAAAAGTTTGCAACAGACAGGCTGTAATACTTTTCACTGCAATCTTGGCCCGACTGACCTCTGCTATTACATCAGGAGAGTTAACTTTCCATTCTTCCCCCTGTAAAAAGGACTCTGTAGGAAGAAGGGGAGCTTGGCACCCCTCCCACAACATGGGTAACGCCAGGAGCAAGCAAACCCAGCACTGGGGTCCTTTGAGCCTTGGTCATTCATGCAGAGAGCTAGAAAGACATTTCATGCCTGCTCTGGTCCCTACCCCTTCTCACATGTATGTGCAAAGAAAATCTATTATAAAGGAGTCATTCGGTTCTTTACACACCATGTCACTCTAACTCGTGGCAATTCAAAATGACACCTGCCCACATCTGGCATTCCCCCGATGCATGTGGCTTTCACCAGTCTTGTTCACTGAGGCAGGAGTTTAAGGCAAAACAAGCTTGCTGGCACCCTCCAAAGCCTAGGTTCCCCGGCTGCTCCCCGCCACGGGGCATGTGGAGCAGTGGTAGATGATTATGCGATGGGCATGTGAGAACACATCGTGTTGCTGCCTCTGCCTTCAGCGTCTTCTCCTCTTTGATATTCACACAGCTGGGGAGAGCAAACAGGCTTTGGGACTTTGGCTCCCATCATAAGCCACACATATGTTATACCTGCTGCTCAGACTGCAGCAGGAGCTGTGGCAGGAGCAAGGTATGCTTGCAAGCAGTGCTTGGTCATACTAGGATGACACAGGATGTTAAGAAAATTAATCCCAAATTCCCTTGTTTTTACTGTTTTAAACTGGATTTAAAGGATCAAGTTTTGGTCTTGGTGAAAATCCAGAGTAAGTCTTGATCACAGGTGAGTTATTTGTAATACATAACACAGCAGGATTTAACTCCCTAACTTACTCGAATAGCCCTGCTTTGTTAAAGATTACTTTTGCATTAATTTCTTTTTGATAGCCATATTAGAAAAAGATTACAATTTGCAGCAACAGAAGAAACCAGAAAGACCCTACGTCTGCTTTTCTTTATGGAAACTGTATATTTCAGTTTTATTTATTTATTAAAAAGAGCCCTACTGATGAAAGGTCCCCAACCTCAAAACACTTACATTTCGGGGTAATTTTACCCACATTAATATTCCTTTTAAGTCCTGTGAGTCTATTCACCTTAACAAAGTTATGTGCATAAGAATACCAGGCAGTAAGTACTTATTTGAAAGATCTGTTTCCAAAGTTTATGAAGTACATAATTGGAGAAGCCTAATTACAAATTTGAAAAAACCCAGAAAAGAAACACCTTACATGCCATTATTTTCCACCATCAAAACTAAACAGTAATTGCTTCACCAATTAAAACAGTAGCTGTTTCCAAACCATTTCTCATTAACTGTTACAACTCTAAGCTGAGCAGTGGAAACTGTCAGAGTTCTGGAAAAACAAATCAGATTCTGTCACTATCGAAACAAATGATTTATCACTAGTTTAGCTGGGGTTTTATTCTTTTTTTTTTTTTAAATTCTTTTTTTTTAATTTTTAATTTTTTTTTTTTTTAAATTCTGTTGCATCCAGAGAACCTGAACAGCAGGAGAGCACCCAGCAGGTGAGATCCCAGCTGCCACTAGGGTGACAAGTGGCTTCTTGGGCTGGAAAGATTGTGCTTAATGCAGCAGAGGAGGGAAAGGGCTGATTTTGGCTGTGCTTCGGGTGGCACTCAACACAGGCTCTGCCTATTAAAAGCACAATATGTCCCCGGGCCGACATAGTCAGCCTGCCGGCAGGGAGGGGTGCCTGCTGCCTCCCTGCCCGGTGCCCTGCTGGCAGCAGCCGAGCCAGGAGACCAGCTGGCATCGCAGGCGGCAGCACGGTGCACCCCAAGAGCAGCTGCTCAGGGAGGGTGGAAGAACTGCCAGAATTGGTAATAACAGCCTCAGGTGAAGGGAGAGTGGGGAAAGCAGCCCAATCTGCCAGCCAGCACTGGTTCTTGTTATGGAGAGCATCAACAGCTGCCAAGAAGCTTCCCCTGAGCTCCCCAGTGCAGCATGGAGAAATGAGCTGCCCTTGGCCCCAAGCAGGAGAATGGTGGGAGAAATCCTCCTCATTAAATGCTCTCCCAAAACAGGGATGAACCCTCCACAACCAACGTTAAAAGCATCAGCTGCTGCCTACTAAAAAACCCTGAGAGCTGAGGATGCTCAAAAAAAAAAAAAAAAAAAAGGAAACCAAACCAATTACTCATGTAGACAGCAAGGCAGAGGAGGGCTGGCAAAGGGGGTGCTACTAGAAGGCAATGGCGGGGAAGCTCTCCTGCACTCCCCAGGCAGCCAGGGCACCCCTGGGAACCTCCCCAGTCCCTCTCCAGGCCCATTCTCTGCTGCACTACGGCTGACAGTCAGAACTCAGCATGGATCAAGAGCCAGGTAAATAGGGACCATCGGCCTTTTATGAGCCTTCTTCGCTGTGACTGTAACTCACCTGCCAATATCAGCCACAAAATTTTATTATTCCTTTTCTTTAAATTCAGCATTTATTTATCCTTTCTTCTGCTCCCTTCCAACCTGCAGAGTGATGGACCGGCAGGCTGTGTTCAGCTCAACAGCGCGCCCACCAGACCAGCACCCACATCACCAGCACTCAGCAACCGTGCTCCCACTGCCCCTGCCTGCACCCCTCCTGCCTGGGCTAGGCTCTGCCCAGTGCCTCAGTCCTGCACCCCTTGCACGGAAAGGACAAGCGATGGTGACTGTATGTGGCCTCAGCCTTCCTCTTGCTTACGCCTAAGGCACACGATTTTTCCTTCATATTTATATAAGTGCAGAAAATATTCCCAGATTTCCAAAGCTTTATCAAAGCTGAACTGTAGCTCAGACCCTTCCACAGGGTCTTCTGTGAGACTCCCAGGTGCCCGATCCCTCTCACTTCTGCAGCTGCCAAAGGCTGTCAGCATCTCACCACATCCCAGCCCCTAGTTTATGTGCAAACTGAAACACCCTTTAACTGCTTCTCAGTTATGCAAAATTCATTTCTCCTACAACATTCCAGGTAACTCTTTCCTCAAGCACCAGAGCCAGATCTTCAGCTGCACCATGTATACCCTAGACAAAACTGAACAGCAGACAGAAAAATCCACTCTTTCAGCGTTGGGCTGGTCAAACTCCCCAGCAAAGAGGGATGTGCTTGAGGCTGGATGCCAGGTATTAGGTGATCTGTGACAGCACTTCAACATTTTGGGGTCACCTAGCCTGTTCAGCCCAGCAGTGCCACACCACAGCACAAAATACCACTTAAGTCCAGCTTTTTCTCCTTTTTATCTCAGCTGAGACCATTTCATTAAATGAAGAAAACTCAGGCATTCCCTGTTGTCTCCCCCACCAATTTTCTCAAAAGGAGTTAGAGGCTCTTTCTACCAAATTCTAGAAAAAATCACAAATTGTCTCACGCACACAGACACATGCTGCCAAATCCAACACTAAAAACAAATCTGATTTTTCCCCCTTTTTCCATGAGTTTAGCTCTAGTACCATAGGATAGGTATCAGGAAACTGCAGAGGGACACTCCACTCCTGCAAAATAAAAATACTTTTCTAGGAAACCTAAATATAACAATAATGGCAGACCGCAGGCCCCCAGCACATTGAGCCAGCTTTCATGGGAGTTTCTAAAGGGACCTCAGTTCTCCAAACAGGGTCTGGGTCGAAACTCAGAGAAATGACAGCTCCTGGCTAAAAACATGCTAATGTTGTACGGGAAATGGAACACAACAGGCATTCTGCATCCTAACTACTTTACCCTACACTTCCTGTAGCTCTAAGAGACAGGATTAGTGGCATCACATAAACTGCTCGGAAGGTGAAGGACAAAGCAATGGCATTTGCAGGAATCTGAGATCAATACATACTAAAACAAACACAGCCCATGCTCTGGGGGGGGTGGGGATACAAAAGCCAAGTAAACAACTCATTAGTCACACTGATTCTCACCTTCTGGCTGTTGCCATAGGATGCAAGCACTTCCACATCAAATAAATGCCATGGATTTTCTCCTTCACCCCTCCTCTCTCTCCCCAGAGGATCAGAGCTCTTCAGGTAAGC